CCCATGCGGGGGCGGGGGGGGGCAGGCTGGGCTTCTGGGCAGGTAGGAAGGTCTAGGGAGGTCCGGACACGCCTTCTCCCTGTGGTGGGGAGGCTCCGGAGGGTGCCCAGGCACGGCGGCAGGGGCAGCCCCCGGGCCAGCCCGAGGTGCCCGCGCTGCACAGGAAGCCCCTCCCAGTGGGGCCCCATGGCATACGGCGCCCCCCGCGCCAAGCCAGGGCTGCCTTGGCCCCGGCCATCAGGGCTGGCCAGTAGCCACCTCCCGCTCCGTCCTCGGGGGGCTCCAGCCTCGTCCGCTCTTACGGGGCACTGCCCGCTCAAGGCCACTCCCAGCTCGGCCGCCTGGCTGCCTCCCCTGGCACGCAGCGGCAGGCCGGGGCAGAGCCTCAAGGAGGGAACTAGGGGAGGGTGTGAACTGCAGCGCGTGACACCTCCCACGGGAGCCCCTGGCAGGCTGGGTCAAACGTGAGGACAACCCTGGGGTTCCTGGCCGTGGCCGAGAGCAAGCAGAGGGGACGGCGTCAGCATGTGGGGGAGGAAGGCGGGCCGAGGTCACGGTCCCCCAGCATGGGTCTCAGGGCCACCCTGGCCTCTAGACGCCCCACGCTGCAGTGAGGACAGGGCAAGCTCCGAAGAAGCCAGGAGCATGTCACCCTGCGAAGAGCCCTCAGCATGTCACAAGGCCCGCGCCACGCAGCCCTGCCTCCTTAGACGGCCTTCTGAAGGCCAAGCCAGCGGGGTGCACTCACCTCACGTCTCAATCCGCCCCTCCAGGTCTCGGGCATCCCTCTCTAGGCAGCTCGCTCTCATCCCCAGGTGCACGGTCACCTCCTCCTGGCCGCTCCTCACCTCGCGCTGCCCCTCCCAACGCCCTTCCTCTTCCCTCCTATCCATCCTTCCAGGCTCAGGACTCGTTCCTCCAGGGCCCTTTCTCCAGCCCTGGGAGTGCCTGCCTCCCCCCACTGCCATGGCCGGCTGCAGCTGTCCCGGTTCGCAGCTGTCCCGGTTCTGCAGAGACCAGCCAGCGGGTGGGTGTGGAAGCGGGTCACGCCCCAGAGGGCTCACTGGCAGGCTGTGGCCGTCCGCACGCGTGGGGTGGACGAGTTTGGGAGTCAGAGGACATGGCGTTGAGCCTCCTTACGAGGTCTAAGACGGTGGGTAAGTGACGGTCTCTCCGGTGTTAATGTCCCCGTCTAAACCGCGGTCTAAGGCTGCCGTCTTCAGGAACCACTGCGAGGGTGGGGCTCGGGCACACAAGGCACGACGGGGAGGGGGCGGCGTTCGCAGCTCGCCGGGGCTCTCTCCAGCTCCCGGGGACTCCTGCGGACCCCTGCTGAGGGTGCCGAGGGCTGAGTGCGCCATGGTCACTGTCCACACAGCCGCTGCCCGAGTCCCTGCCCATCCAGGGCTGCACGGGGAGCAGGCGGCATGCCGCGGAGATGGTGGCAGTGCATCGCCACTTATGAGCTGCAGCCGGTCCAATGTGCCGCCCCGGGCACAGCCCTTCTGACGCGAGGTTAGTGCACGCATGTCCACGCAGGGAGAACCTCATACTCAAGCACGCATGTCCAAGTGGCGGCCCGGAACCGCCCCCCCCCGCCCCGCCCCCGCCAGCCCCGCCTGCTTCACTCGGCCCAGGGAGGTGTCCGAGAGGCTGCGGTGGGTCAGGCACGTCCCCACGTGGGATGAGGCGTCACTGCAGGAAACACAGGGCTCCTCTGAGTGACGGGGCTGCGGGGAGTGGCACGGGCCTGCCGACAGGACGGACACTGTGCTGGGAAGGGCGACAGCTGCCCTGCCAGGGACGGCTCCCCAGCGTGTCCGGAGGGCCGTCTAGTCCAGACAGCACCCGGAGAGTGAGGGACCCAAAGGCCACAGGACGCAGGCTTTAAAGCTAGGAGTATCTCCAGGGATGAAGACAGCCTTGGCTGGGCAGGCAGGTGGTGTAGTGGTTAAGGGCGCTGGACTCCCGCCTGGCCGACCCCAGTTCAAGTCCCGGATCTGGCGGCTTGCTTACTTTCTCTCTAGCTTACTCTGTTCCTCTCTGGTCAAAGTCAAATAAATCAATAAGTAAAGTTAAATAAAATAATGCTTTTTTAAACATTTATTATTTACTTTTATAGCGCACCGATTAGTCTGCTCTCAGCACCGTCACGCCTGCTCACAGGGAACAGGTCCCAGAAGCTCCGGCTCCCTCCCATGGGCTCTCGCCCAGCAGCTTCTCCGGGTGGAGCAGGGGCACTTCGGTTGAGCCAGGTCCCCTCTCTCTGGTGCCCTTCTTTTTCTGGTCATCCTCCTGCACACGCTGTAAGAAGCCGCCTCTGCCATCAACGCTCAGTACGCTCCATACGACATGAATGCTCTTGGCAGCGTCTTGCCCTTACCTTGTCTCCAACAACGCCAACGGCATGCTGGCTAACACCGAGACGCTGCCAGTGTTGCCATGGTAACGCCTGTGGGCGTTCCTTCCGAACAGCACCCACCCCCTCGATGCCTACACCGCCCTCCTCGTAGATTCGCATGGGTGTTGCCAAAGGAACCGCTCCGTGTTCTCCAAAGGCCTGGGGAGCATACATAGGGGCCTCTCCTCCTCCCCTTCGTGTTCGTCATTTGGGTGCATTCCTGGAAGACGGCCAAAGGGAAGGGGCCAGTAAGATAATTATTCAAAAAGAGAGAGAGAGAGTCCCTAGACAAGGAGCCATCTCCGTACGGTCTGTACCGGGCCCTGGCAGACATGCAGGAACAAGGCCTCAGTAAAGTCACGCACATCTTCCTGTTTCCCGGCCAGAAACGCGTCCGAAGGCTCCCGGCGACCCAGTTGTAATCGTGTGCAGCTACAGCAATGATTTCAAGTAAAGGCGACAACTCGAGGGAGAAAAAGGCGACCCCACGGGCCGAAGTGAAGACGGGCAGGGCCTCCGAGTCCCTCCAGCCGAGAGCGGAATCCCCAGCAGGGACAGCGGAGCTCGGAGACGCGGGCAGCCACCCTGGCCTCCGCGGCCGACCGCGGAGACGCGAGCATTGGGGGGGCCCGGGGGGCCCGGCCTGCCACAGTCACAGTGTGCCCCGTGGCGGAGTGGGACCGCGCGCGACACTGGCCGCAGCCGGACGGCCAGACGGGGCCGCGTCGAGAAGCAGCGCACCTGTCCTAATCCATGGCTCAAAACAAGCACGAAAACTCCCAGGACATTTAGGAAACATTCTGAATTGAATAGTGACAGAAACACGGCAGATCGGAAGCTGCCCTCGCGACACAGGCTACACTACAGAAGGTGACCGCCAGCAGCTCAGCTTCCACCGGAAGGAGCAAAGACGGCATCCCAGGGCATACGGGGACGGCAAACACTGCAGCGCGCAGGTCAATGAAGCAGGCGGCATGGAGGGCTACGGAGCTGGGCCACACGGCCCACCGCACGGTTTCAGACCCTGGCCTGGTGGCTTGAGAATCACACTGGGCGTGTGTGTGCCCAAGCCCCGAGAGGAGGGTGAAGGAGAAAGGGCCGGCATGGCCATCCTCCAAGGGGTGACTTCTCTCTTTCTGTCTCTGTCTCTCTCCAGCAAGCATACGTGCTCTATAGCAGCAAGTTTTAAAACGGAAGAAAGAGAAAGAACAGACGAAGCTGATTAAGAGAAAAACTCACAGGGCAGCAAATGGCGTAGTGGTCACATCACTGGACTCCCACGTCGTCGACCACGGTTCAAGTCCCAGACCCGGTGACCTGAAACTCACACCAGGCTCCTGTGCGTGTGTGCCCACAATCCCGAGTGGAGGACGGAGGAGAGAGTGGGCACAGCCATGTCCCAGGGGCTGGTTTCTCGCTTTCTGTCCCTCTGTCTCTCTGGCAAGTATATGTGCCCTATAACAAAAATCTCTTTAAAAAACATGAATAAATAAACAAAAGGGAAAATCACAAGAGTCTAATGCTGCTTCTTGAAAAGGATTTTTAAAAAATGATAGAAACTCTCAGCAGTTTAGGAGCCGAAACCTGACGGAACAGCTATAAAGCGGAGGGTGGACGGCACACTCAGTGGTGACACGCTGGGCACCCTCCCCCAGGCCCGCGAGGCCCAGTAGTGCAGCGAGGCCACGGGACGGTAAGTGAAATCTCACACACCAACCTTCTGGGCTGAACGGCTGAGGTGAAGTCGCCGTGACTCAAACGGCACGCCGGTGTAAGCGCGGGACCTAGCCACTACATGGCACACGGACTAGTACGCCCACTTATCAAGGTCGCAGCCCAGAGGTCACAGTATCAAACTCAGTTATATTTCCATATCCTGGCAATAAGGACAGACCGAAATCAAACACCTAGGAGCAACTCCAGCAGGAAGAGCGAAGACACTACAGAGAAACGCAGGGAGCCGTGCTAAGGCCTGAAGAGATGGGTACATGCACATGGCGGATCCGAAGGCTCGAGAACGTTAAGGCACCAGTTTCCCTCGGATTTGACCTAAAGGTGTTCATCTGACACTGATTCTGAAATTGCTACAGAAATGGAAAGGGCTAGAAAAGACCAGATAATTTTGAAAAGCAACAAAATTGGAGGGCTAATATAGAAGACCCTCAGACCCCCATACAGCTACAGTAATTAATAAAGACTATGATTGGCACCGAGGGAGAAGCACATCAACCGAAGTGGGAGCGGCCCAGGAACAGCCCACACGAACAGCAAAGGCGCTCCCGCAATTCCGTGACAAAACGCCTTTCTAGGGCATTGGTCCTCCTGCCCGATACCTGATATGAGATTTAACTAACAGTGGGTCACAGACCTAGACGAGAACTGTCTAAAAATTGATCTATAGATTCAGTATAATCCCTATCAAAATCTCAGCTCTATTTTTTCAGAACTAGAAAAATCCATCTTAAAATTCATATAGGAATCTGAAGAGACTTTGAATAACCAAAACATTAAGGAAAAGGAAGAAGACAGGAGGGTTTACAGCTTGATTTTGAAACTTAGCAGCAGGCTCGGTAGCCAGGACAGTGTGAAGCTGGCACGAGGACACACAGAGGTTTGCAGGACGGGAGTCAGAGCCACGCGTACAGCCTGTATTTCTCGCCAGCCGACTTTCAACAAGGTGCCAAGCCACACAGCGGCGAAGAGCAGGGTCCTGTACCAGGCGAAGCCAGTACAACCGAACTCCCGTATGCGCGCGATGCTGGCACCAAAACGAAAGAACGAAGTTGGACCCCGCCTCATTTCATATACGAAAACTAACTAAAACGGATTAAAGATGTAAAAACGTAAGAGCTAAAACTCTAAAACTCCTAGAAAGAATGCAGGGCTCAATCTTCCTGACCTTGAATTTGGCAATGGATTCTTAGGTATGCTACCAAAAGGACAAGCAATCAAAAGAAGAAAAAGAGACAGAAAAATAAAGATACCACTGAGAAAAGGAAAAGTCAACGCACGGAAAGAGGGAAAACGTTTGCACATCATAAGGGGCGGTTGTCTTCAAAAAGTTCATGGCAAATGCATATTATGGAAAAAACTGTGAATGTCAAAGAAATGTTTGCACCAAAATGAATTTGTACTTTTTTTTTTGGAGAGGTTTTCACTATAGGGTGCGTGCGCTCGCCAGAGAGACAGAGAGACAGAGAGAGAGAAATCACCCCCAGGGGTAATGGCCAAGCCACAATCCCTTCTCCTCCATTCTCCTCTCAGGATCTTGGGCACGCACACACACGGGTGATGCCAAAGCCACAATCCCTTCTCCTCCATTCTCCTCTCAGGATCTTGGGCACGCACACACACGCGCCTGGCATGAGTTTAAAGCCACCAGGCACAGGACTCAAACCACGGTCAATTATATGGGAGTCCAGCGATGTAGCCATTACGCTAACTGCTGGTCCCCAGAGACTTTTTGAAGTACCATTCTATCTCACAAGGGACTGACATCCAGAATCCATACAGAACTCAGCAATTCCTTTCTTTAAAAGAGTTACTCCTTTACTTGATTTATTGTTAGTTAATTTATTTTAATTTGACCAGAGTCAATTCAAAAATAAAAGTCAAATAACCTAATGAGAGCCAACGACTTGAACAGACATTTCTGCAGAGACACACAAGGCTGAGGAGCACGTGAAAAATTATGGGCCCAGCAGTTAGTGTAATGGCTGTGTCGCTGGACTCCCATGTAGTCGACCATGGTTCGAGTCCTGGACCCGGTGGCTTAAACTCACGCTGAGTGCATGTGTGTGCATGCCCAAGATCCCGAGAGGAGAATGGAGGAGAAGGGATTGCGGCGTGGCCATCCCCCCTGATTTCCTGCTTTCTGTCTCTCTGTCTCTCTCTGTCTGGCGAGTGCACACGCCCTATAGCAAAAACTTCTCCAAAAAAACAAAAAAATGCTCAGCACCATTAACCTTAAGGAAATGCCAATCGAAGCCTTAGTGAGGTATCATTTCACACTGCTACCATAACTACAAAGAAGGACAGATAACGACAAGTGTTGAGGAGGACATGGAGAAACGGGAATGCTCATGCATGGCTGGTGGAGATGTAAAATGATGCAGTGAGCCTTCATGCTGTTACTCTTAAAGTACATGCTCGGTCTCAGAGCACATGCATGCCTAACTAAGCCCGAGCACTGCACTTCCGGGAAGTTCTCTGTGCTGGACAGTGTTCTGTGGGTCCCCTCTGATAGGGTATGTGAGTTCTGGTTACTCTGCGGCTGTACCATAGTTCTCCTGCCGGCTGTTACCATCTTAACTACTCCTGGGGGGATGCATTTGTTCTCATTTGCATTTCTCTGATAATTATTGAGGATGAATACCTTTTCAAATGTTTACCCATCATTTCAAGATCCACTCCTGTGAGATGTCAGTTTACAAGCATTGCTCACAGTATACATTTAAAAAACACCATGACTGGGACCAGCAGTTGGCATAATGGCTATGTTGCTGGGCTTCCATGTAGTCGACCATGGTTCACGTCCCGGACCTGGTGGCTTAAACTCACACTGGGCGCATGTAAGTTCGGGCCCAAGATCCCGAGAGGAGAATGGAGGAGAAGGGATTGTGGTGTGGCTATCTCTACGGGTGGGGGGTGACTTCGCGCTTTCTATCTCTCTGACAAGCGCACGCACCCTATAGAAAAAAACTCTCAAACAAACAAAACAATGACCAACCACTGTGGCTAGAGAGGTCAAGTAAGATGGGAGCATTCTGGCCAGAAGTGCCTGGCTCTCACAAAAGGGGAGAGGGGCTCCCCGGAAAACTGGGTCCTGGAGGGCGGAGGGCACAGGACTGGGGCAGTGCCCTTGAGCTGTGGCAACCACAGCAAGAATATGCAGACCGCATGCAGTGAGCTGGGATTTGAACGCACACCTATCTCCAAAGTGGCTCTCTCCATTAAGCTATTGTTTCCTGGGCTGAGACAAAACCAAGACAACTATTGAGAAGAGACTCCCAGGGTCAGCTGTCCCTCGAATCCTTTATTAGCAGAGAATTCTCCTTTGGAGCAAGGTCCCACGAACTTGTAAGCAGGATTTGAACCTGGGTAAGCTGCTCCCCGGTGCTCTTTCATGCAGCGACTCCAGGGCTGAGCAGAGCCAGGCTACCCTGTGCTACACCTTTAAGACCGAGTGACCCCCCGACTGCACCTGGACACCCATTCAGA